ACCTCTCCCAAGGAACCTACCACTGTTCGCTAAGCTCTCTCTGACCCCGACAGCGAAAAATGGAGGGCGGTATGGCTTCATAAGTCGTGTCGCTGAAAAGGCGTGGAACTTGGAAGCTGGTCCCTCGCTCATCAGCCAAGGGGGAGAAAATTTCTCAGCGGCAAGTGGGTCTCCCGCATCAAAACCCTGACAGACGGTTCAATCGACAAGTGCAAGGCAAGATGGGTGTTACGCGGCTTCGAACAAACGCACCTGGTGGACTTCACTCTCACATACGCACCGGTCGGCCGCCGTCACACCTCGGTGCGCATTCTCATCTGCATCGCAGCCATCAAGCAGCAACCGCTCCGTCAAATCGACGCCGGAAGCGCATTCCTGTACGCCCTCGTCGACGCCATCATCTTCGTCGAGCAGCCGCATGCCTTTCGAGGAAACTGATGGTGCCGTTTGCCTTCTCCACAAATCCCTCTACGGAATCAAACAGGCGCCCCGTCTATGGCAGCAGTACCTGCACAACATCCTCTTGGAGCTCGGCTTCGCTCAGCTACCGCATGATCTTGTAATGTACCGGAGGGAGTCGCTTGGCAGGTTCTTTCTCCTCGTCGCTTACGTCGACGATCTCCCCTACACCGGCGTCGACACGGAGCTGCTCGATCAATTCGAGGCGGATATCTAGGAGAAGCTTGAGGTGACCATTAATTACAACGTCACGCAGTTCCTGGGTCTCAACATCGCTCAGTCCGCCACCTCCATTCATCTCTCCACCGCCAAATACGTGAAAACCTTCGCGACGAAGTTCGCCGTCGCCCAAATCAACCTCACCACTCCCTACCGCACTCCTCCTAATCACGAGTCGGATACCACACCCCTTTCCGTCAACGACCATCGGCTCTATCAGTAGCAGCTGGGGTGTCTCCTGTTCGTCGCCATCACGTGCCGGCCCGATCTCTCCTACGCCGCAAGCCAGCTCGCACAGTATCTGAAGCGACCTGAAGGGGAGAATCTACTAGATCTACGCCGAGAATTTCAATAATTCGTCTCTACCCCTGACGTCAGACTCACGTACGAAGCAAACCTCACCGCTACCCTGCAGCTGCATGGCTACGTAGATGCAGACCACGCTTTAGATGTTGACAACAGACGCTCCCGCACAGGATTCATTTTCCAACTCCAACCTGCTGGACTCATCTCCTGGAACTCCCAGAAGCAGGAACTCATCGCCCTTTCGTCAGCCGGAGCTGAGTTCATCGTCGCCTGCGCAGCTGTTCGCGAAGGACTGTACCTGATGGAGCTCCTGCAAGAAGCAAAAATAACGATGAACGGGCACTTCACGTTACTCTGCGACAATCAGAGCGCGATAAAGATCGCGAACAAGCCCGGCTTCGTGAACCGCGCGAAGCACATCGCACTCGGTTACTTCTTCGTCAAGGATGAAATCGACAAGGGGAGGGTCAAACTCACGTACTGCCCAACCGGTGACATGGCAGCTGACTTTCTGACAAAAAACGAATAAAGGAGCTTGTGACTATGAACTGACGACACAGTGAAAGGTACGCGTTTATAGCGGGTCAACCTAGCTAGGCGAGAACCTCAAAAACACGAGGTTGGGTGTAGGTTGGGCAAGGTAAAATCGAAGGCGACGTGTGGTTGCTTCGGCAGCAAGCAAACCGCACAAGCGTGCACTTCCGAAAGTTGGAATTGTACGTGAAAGAGTAAACCCAATAATGAAAAAAGGGATTTCCTTACCATCGACATCAAGAAATACAGCACAATACGTTGAATATTAACTGAATGATCCAAGTAGCATTCGTTATATTTTTAGATATATGCAAAACGTCCGTGGCCATTTCATAAGTATGGTGCAGCAAGATTTCGAGGTATGCAAAGCGATCGACAAGACAAGTTAGCGCTGACGAGCTAGGCGAAAACCCAAGGGCAAAAACTGGCTTGGGAAGGGTACGGGAGCGACTCGAGAGTGGTTTGGGGCCGACAAGCCAGGCCGAAGCAGCTCTCTCGAGGGTTCGGGAGGTCCCCGACCGACGTGAAACGCACACAAGCGCGCGCGAAGCTGAATTCACCCGAGTGAACCGAAGTAACACTCCAGCCCACATTTCCCGCACCATCATCTCTCCGCAGCGCACGGAGCCTGCGTTCTGCCCTGGTGTCTGCTCGCCTCCCTTCTTGAGGACCCCAAGGCCTTCCCCCCCTTCCTCCCCTCCACTCCACTTACCACCCCTACGCCTGCGCACTACAAACCACTCGCGTACGCTCATTCCTCTCATCGCTCTCCAGCTTCTAGCTCTCTCTTGTGACTAGCTCTCAGCAAAAAATTTTACGACACAATCCATGTCCAAATTTGGGTTTTCCCCATGCATGCCCCCTCACCATAGCGCGGGGATTGACTTTGGTAACTCGAAGCATTGTCTTCGGGGAAGAACAATGCCGAACCACTGCTGTGGAGGAGGGAACAATGTTCCCCCTTCCCCATTGTCTCAGCAGCTGCCTCCAGTACACATCTCAGCAGACCCGCACGTGCCAATCTGGTGTGGTACAGCAGATATTCTACGGTTGTGCTGGATGTACAGTGGTGCAATTGCGCTACAGTGATCCTCAACTCACGATTTATTGTTTGAGTTGCTTCAGCAGAAATACGCGGCTTTACACAGAAACGATTGCGACTGTGACGAATTCAGATAAGGTTTTGCTGACGCGTCAAAAAGCAGTGCGACTACATCCCTGTGGTGTCACACTCGAATGTGACAGCGCGGATGTGCCTTGTGGCTGATTTGGTGCTCATTTCGCACGTCACTTCGCCTACGTCTCGCCAATACACACGCGCGAAACCACACCACGGCAGTGCCTTTTGGTGTGCGGGACAGTTCTCTCTCACCCTCGCCATTCAAACTTCATCCACAGCTCAGCTCTCGTTCATTCACTCGTATCAGTTTCCATGCTCCATTTTCCTCAGCTTGTGTGTGCTCCAGCAGGGTGCGCTTTATTTCTGATGTATCTGATACTCAGTCCGCTGTTTGTATTCCGTTCGTCTTACTTCCTCCCTCCGCAGGATATTGAGAGTCTGCCGGTGCTGAACGCAAATTGCGATGTCTGTACGGTCTCACGCCCTACACTTGCTGGTCCATTCATGTGCAAAATCTGGTACGTTTCTGTTACAAGCAGAAACTAATAGGCTAATGCGACTTTTTGAATATCTATTCCTGTGCAGAAACGACCCGCGCACGACAACGCTGGCTATTAATATCGCCATATTATTTACTCTACCGATTATTTTTCATCGCCATGATATCGCCGAATTTATCGCCGAATTTTGTACTGTCCGAGTTGCCTGCGATGTGATTCCTAACACAGCAGTGGCAAAGCTGGTAGGTTCATTTTGGTGGTTTTTGTGGCATCCTTCCTGTGGTGGCTCTTTGCTGACCTAGTCTGCTGCTGCCTTTGTTGGTGCTGAGTGCAGAACATTTTCCTGCTGGTTCGTTCAGGCAGATCAGAGTCTTTAAATGGATGTTGCTACCGTCATACCCCGGATATAAGCGCCACCCGCGGATAAGCGCCTGGCGCTTTTAATCGGCGCCCGGCGCTTATATCCGGTGCTCGATTATAAGCGCACCCCCCTGAAAAAACTTGTTTTATTATAAGCGCACGTAAACTTTAAATTTTGAATTGTGTTCGAAACACTGTAACGATTTCTACTTCAGCAGGGGGATGTGTTGCAGATTCGCTTCCCTTCACATTCGGACCCTGCACTGGATGCGGGACCAGTCAGCAGGAGCAGTCAGGAGCTGTCAGAAGCTGTCAGAAGCTGTCAGGAGCTGTCAGAGTAGGTGTATCTCCAGCGCGCGCGAGAAATTTCACAGAACTTCGACTCGATTGAAAAAGGCTAGCACGAGATCTACAGCTTGGTGTTAAAACATATATAAAATATATATGTCGTTTTATAAACGCCGGCGCTTATAAATTTACCCGATTATAAGCCCACCCCCCCCAAAAAAAACCTGTTTTATTATTGCCCCCCATGGGGGTATATCCAGGGTATGACGGGTATCAGATATTTCTATGTGTCTGCGGCTAGGAGGGGTCCCATTGGATGGATGTCATATGTATTTATAAATGTTTAGTTCATAGTTCATAATTTCAAAAATGAATTGCATGTTTTTGTGGTTACTGTTTTGGCCCGTTACAGATTCCCTTATAGAAGTCTCCCAGGTTGCTGCAGTGAGGATGAGCAATGTTGGCCGTATGGTGAAGCATTCCTTGCCGAGCCTGCGGAAGATTGCCCAAGCAAACCTTCCAAAATAACGGCAATGTACGGAGTCGCTACAAACACACCTCCTGGTTTGGTTGCCGAACCTGCTAAGCAAACCTCTGGGAATCCCTACGTGCAATCCCGCAACATACCTCACAGGCTGATGATTCATCATGATAAACCTCAAACATTGTTGCCCCGCGACTACTTTCAGCAATCTTTTGCAAAACATATGGCAATGTTTGGGCGAGTTTTTTTTTGCAGAGTCAGCCTTCCGTTGCCGTTTTCATTCAGCGTTAGCATGGCCTCAGTTTCCCGCTCACATTATCCGTCGTATGCTGCAGCGCTGAGCTTCTGGAAGAGTCTCGGCAGGGAGGACTCGACGGCATCACGCCGCGTTCAGCCGCTGGGCGAGTCATCCAGCGGCGGATCGAACGACACGAGCCGTTCTTCCGCCGTCACGGCCCGCTGCAGCACCAACAATGGCGATTCTAGCGATGACGCCGGCGTCGGCTGCAACGACGCCTGCTCTCGCGAAGACACAGCAGCAGCGCCAATGCTTCCAGTGCTTCCACCTGTGACGTCGCATCAAGCGCCGACGCGAGATCCGGCTTCAAGGTCAGATCAAGTGACGCTTAAAGCGGCCGATTGTGCCGAATCGGAAACTGCGGCTGCAACGTCGGATTCCGCAGCATCGCAACGTGCAGCATCAGAATGTGCAGAGTCGGACCCTGCAGCTTTAGACTCCAGCATCGCAACCTGCAGCATCGGCGGAATCTGCTGTGTCGGCGGATTGTGCAGCGTCGGCGGAATGCGCAGCGTCGGCGGAATACGAAGCGTCGGCGGAATGTGCAGCGTCGGCGGAATGCGCAGCGTCGGCGGAATGTGCAGCGTCGGCGGAATGTGCAGCGTCGGCGGAATGTGCAGCGTCGGCGGAATGTGCAGCGTCGGCGGAATGTGCAGCGTCGGCGGAATGTGCAGCGTCAGCGGAATGTGCAGCGTCGTCGGAGTGTGCAGCGTCGGCGGAATGTGCAGCGTCGGCGGAATGTGCAGCGTGGGCGGAATGTGCAGTGTCGGCGGAATGTGCAGCGCATTCCCGCGCGTCAACGGCGTCAGCAGGTCGCAGCAAGGCAGCACATACTGTACCGCCGACGCGCATCCCGAAACTGAGCAACAAGAGAGTGAATGTGAGGCGCGTGGAGGGAGCGACTCTGATTCCCCGGCCTAGCTGTGCTGCACCGCACAGGGAGGTGCGGGGAGTGCAACTTGAAGCTGCACGCAAGCGGCCTAGCACAACACCCAAGGTCGGGCTCGCCACCTCAAGGCGCCCATGGCGGCCTTGACTGCTGTCGTCACAACAAAATGAATGGTTAAAAAAGGAATGGTTAAAAAAAAAAAAACAAAACAAGACAAAAAGACATCAAAGAAGTCCAGATGGACAATGAAGGGAAATGGTGGGATGGGGTAAAGACACAGAAGCACAGCAGTGACGAGCGAGTGGGGGGTTTTGGGGCGGTTTGGGGATGCGGGTTGGGAACCATGGTGGGACACTAGCCTTTTTTGCAGCCTGCTTCACAGCAGGCTGTTTGTGGCAGTGTGGGTTTGCTGACCTTGGTGGCTGGATGGTGGAAGGCAAAAAAAACTGCTGCTCTGCTGATGTGCTCCTGAAGGGATGGCTCAGGACTGATGTGCTCCTGAAGGGATGGCTCAGGACTGATGTGCTCCTGAAGGGATGGCTCAGGACTGATGTGCTCCTGAAGGGATGGCTCAGGACTGATGTGCTCCTGAAGGGATGGCTCAGGACTGATGTGCTCCTGAAGGGATGGCTCAGGACTGATGTGCTCCTGAAGGGATGGCTCAGGACTGATGTGCTCCTGAAGGGATGGCTCAGGGCTGGGGTAGCAATTAGTTAGTAGTTGGTGTGAAATTGTGGCTAGTACGGTAGTAGTTCCTTCATGTAATGGTAGCATTGGCTATTGTACAATTTGAAGTGGCACTGGGGTATGAATGGATGCAGCAACCTTGTACGGGCTAGTACAGAGACTCCTAGGGTGAGTGAATGGTGTGTGTGTCCATTCATACGGTACTTGACACACAATGCCCTGGGAGGTGTGATAGATACCGCACTACATTGTACAAGCTCTAGTACCGTCCACTTCAATTTCTGCTGCAGCGGCAGTGCTTGTGCTCACTTGGCAGCCGTAGTGACACACAGCAGAGCATGATGAGTTGAGACACACCAAGGCAGTGGCTTCACAGCACACAGCGGGCAGAAGCAACGTCCCTCGCTTGCAGCACATGAGGCACGCTGCAGCACAGGCATCAAGGTGTGGCAGCAAGATGAGGGCGTGGGCGTGGGCGTGGGGGAGTGACTGACGCCTGGCTGTCATTCCCTGCTGCTGCAGGTGCGTCAAGAGAGAATGGGAGGGTGGACGGGAGGGAGGGAGGGAGGAAGGGAGGGAGAGAGTGAGTGAGTGAGTGAGGGAGGGGGGAGGGAGTGAGTGAGTGAGGACGAGGGAAGGGAGCGAGTGAGGGAGGGAGGGGGAGAAGGAGGGAGGGGAATGGGCGGAGAGGAATGAGAGGCACGCAGAGTTAGGTTGCGAAGCAGGGTTAAGTGCAGCGAGTGGTGGCATTGTGGGGGGTCGCAGGTGGGTGTAGAGGGCAGCGTGGGGTGGCAGGTGGTGGTGCTTGTGGTGCAGTGAGTGATTGGCACTGAGGCGCATGCAGGCATTGAGGGGCAGTGAATGGGCGTGATGGGCAATGCGTGCGAGTGAAGGGCAGTGCAGCTCCTTGAACCCCCCATCATGCCTCATCCACGCACTCACCTGCCCTCATCCCCACCCACCCCCATGCACAGCCCCACCCTGTAGCAGGCACGCACATGCAGAGCAGGCAGGGCGAGTCGGAAGCATTGGGTGGCGGGTGGTAAGCAGGGCGAAGCAAAGAATGGTGGTTGCAGAGCAGCACGCGGGCGGGAAGGGGGCCGCGCATGTGGAGAGCATGCGCCCCCACGCGCCCCCACGCGCCCACACTCCGCGCTCACTGCCCCATGCGCACTGCCCCCAATCCACCCACGTCAAGAGGCAACGCCAGTTGCAGCGCAGAGAGTACAAGCCGACTATTCCCGCGCCGCCACGCAGTAGCTGCCTCAACTCGCCCTCCCTGCGCGCCCCTGCTGCCACCCCCCGCGCCCCTGCTTGCACTCACCCGCCCGCTCCCACGTGGGCAGCAGCAGGAGCATGCGCGTGCAGTGCAGGGTGGTTGGCGAGTGGGGTGGAGAAGCAGAGCATACCACTCACACCACTCCTACCACTCCTACCACTCACTTTCACCGCTCACTCTCACCTCTCACTCTCACCACTCACGCGTATTGCAGGGGCGAGCGCGAGAGTGAGTTGTGGCTTGTGAGCGGCCGGCAGGGTGGTGCGGTGTGTGAGTTGGCTCTTACAGGAAAGCGCAGTTGGGCGCTGATGACGGTGGTGCCGCGGATGGCCACTTGCCACCACCACTGCTGCCGCGCGCCACCGTGTCGTGCGCCCCACACGCCCACCTACCGCCATGCAACCGCGCTGCCCAACCACGCACGCCTGCTTGCTACCGCCGCGCCCATGCAAGCGCGGATGCCTGTGCCTCACTGCCGCGCGGGGGTGGCTGTGGGCGAGCAGTGTGCAGTGAGTGGTGAGCACGGACGGTCGGGTGGCGCGCGAATGGCGCTGCCGCGCGCGCTCGCAATGGGCTCGCCGCCCACCTCGTCCCACGCGCACCTGCCGCTTCACCGCCGCACGCGCGCCCGCACGCGCGCCCGCCGCAATGCCGCTCGACGCACGTGGCGAGGCGAGCAGCAGCGCGGTGAGCATTCGACATGCGTGCCACTGGACGCACGCGCAATCACCAATCCTCGCAACTAAACTCTTTCGTTTCCACCCTCATTCCTACATATCATTGAGCTCATTCACTGCGCTTCCGTGTTGCTTCTATTAGTGGGAGCACGCAGTGCAAGGCGGCGTGCAACGCAGTGAGCGGATGGCGTGGCGATCCCACCGTCCGTTGGGCGCTTGCTCTTCTCCCAATTCTCCCCTTACCACCCCCACCATCTCCTCTTGCCCCCCATCCACTGCTCCGCCTCGCTAAAGTATCAATTCCTCTCGCTATTGCTATTGCTATCCCTCCCCTCTAATATAATCATTCCTATTGCTGCTCTACACTAATATTCAAACACTTCAACACTGATTTTGTCAGGCTAAACAAACTCAAAGACTTGTTGAGACCACACTAAAGTATCAAACCACACTTGCTACCACCGATCCAAATGTTCCTATTGCTGCTGTACAGCACTGTAATATCCAGTCCGCATTTGGGAGTCTTCAAGGTCTGTTGTTAGCGTACACATTTGTGGTTCACTATAGGATAGGTGTAATTTTGCTATAGAGAATACAAGTTTGTTATATCTAAGACCCTTTGACGCCGAAGCAAGCGTCCGCCGTCGCACGCACCTACCGCCACCACACTTGCCGAGCCTGCTGCGCACCCTTTGGCCGTCCTACGTCACAATGCGGAGGGTCGGGCAATCGATTATGACTCGCGGCTGCTTGATGCCACAATCTACCTCTGCCTACGCTTGCGGTGAGCTGCCTACCCTCGAGCTTCCTACTCCTCTTTCTGCTGACGCCACGCAGCCAGACCGGGAGACTTACAGCGCGGGTCGTCTTGCGTACTGTGGCAGTCAGGCGACACTACTGCAAGCCTTGCCCTTCGCTGACTCCTGTCGCCGGGTGAGCAAATTCACTTCCGCCAGGTTGCGTCAGTGAAAGAATAAATTGATGCTATTGATGCTCGCAAATCCACCCTCTCCTCTGCAAAGGAAGTGAGTGTAGTGAGCATGGTGCAAAACAAAAGTTCCGCAAAGCGCGAGTGTTGGCTCAACGTTTTATCACAAACCCCGATGGATGACTCTCAACGTATTATGGGAGGATGTTGAGGAGGAGATGGGATGGGATGCTCCGTGGGCGGATGCACCATACTTGGTAGACATGCGGGTTTAGGGAGTGGGTTTAGGGGGGGAGGTTTGGTTCGATGGGAGTGCAGTTGGGGTGCTTTGATGGGAGGGCTTGATGGTGTTTTAAATGTGTGTGCTATTGGGGTTTTCTTGGGGTTGTGTGTGCTACTTTTTCTTCCTTCTTCCCTGTTTTTCTTCCTCCTATCATTTTTCCCCTATTCCCCTCCTTCTTTCTTCCTCTCTCCTTTTTTCTACTCACGTTATTCCTCCTTTTCTCCTCTCTTCCCGTTTCCACTCCTTTTCCTTGCGTAATTATGCTACGTATTATCGCGAGTATTGGTGATGTTCAATTTTCCCCGATTCAAATTTTTCTCAAGAAGTGAGAATGGGTAATGATGGGCATACTGTACAAATTCCAAATATGTATCCATTGCAGAGTAACCCAACCTAGCACATAATGTGACAACATACTCATTCGTAGTTTTATGGTTATATTCTATATGATAAATCAGGTTGCTTTATAAGGAGTACTTGTCAGTTCGATATGCCATATGTATCCTTTCAGTCTAGTATGTGCAATTCTCTTTCTCAACTTTTGTTGCTGCTCTCACCGACTCTGCCTCCACCTACCACCTTGACTATGTCGCTTAGTTGGTGTCTACTCTTGCCCGTCCTCCATTCGTTGGGGGTGCTCCTGCCATGGAAAATGATGTCCTAGAGGATAGGAATTTCGATCTGGCTTTCCTTGCGGCCGTTGCTCCTCTTCTCCGTATTATGCTGCTTGCCTCTGAGGGTGACCCAGACGCTCTTGTCATCCTAACTCCTCGTACCTGCGCTGAGGTAGTGTCAGGACGCCCGGCCTCTCGAAGATAGTACCATGGACACAGAGACGGCATCTTGGAGGTACACGACCACGTACGTTGACATGTTCCCCCTCCTTGGGCAAACGCTGTTGATTGCATGTGGATCTTCAAGGTAGAACAGCCACCTAGAGCACCAGTGTATAAAAGGCGCGCTACGTGTCTAGAGGCTTTAGTCAGCGACAGGGGGTAAACTTCTTTTCAACTTGAAAATGACCACTCTTTGGCTCCTGCTGCACTTCGCGGCACAGCACGATGACAAACTCCACTCGCTAGACACTGCCTTCCTCCATGGCAGTTTGC